TAAACACTGATTCCCATACAATCCCTGAAGTTAAGCAATATCAAGCCTGGTCAATACTTAGATGGGTGACCACTTGGGAATACCAGGTGCTGTAAGCTTTGATGTGTGGGTGCTGTAATAAATAATAGCTTTGGAATTGTTAAAAAAGGAGCCAATTTCCAATTCCTGTTGAGTTTGTGATACTCATTTATGTGCAAATACCATCAGGAAATATATGAAGCCACTTATTCTCCCCTCAGCTATGGGTTAATTAGTAAGACTTGTATCACTAAACCATTATTATTTCTCCTTCCCAAATAGATTTATTTACAGTCACTATTTTTCTATCCATAATGTTAAATGTATTAAATTATTAAACAAGAAAAATCCCAAGTTCATTTTAAAAATTGTTGCAAAACATTGTTGAATTGCTTAAGATGGAATCATCTATTATGGCATGTCTCTAATTTGTATTTAGATACCTTGTATCTATTTTCAGTTTTTTTTAGATAAATGGTTCACCCTTGTGCAAGTTAATTAAAACAAAATGAATAATTCCGTTATTATTTACTTTTTTTTCGTATTTTTCCAATGAAGCATGGCCCAGTTGACATGTTCGTACGTTGTATGTCCATTCCACGAAGTCTTTCCTTACAGATTAACCACAGATTCTCGATTGGATTTAAATCAGGAGAGTTTCCGGGCCAGTCTATAGTACTTTGATTTGATCACTGGTAATGTTTGCCAGTGTGTCTGTACAGCGTTACAGTTTTCGTACGCTTCCTTGGAGTAACGTCCATTGCAGACAATGGTCGTAGGACAACTAATCGACAGTCGAGACAATAGTGGTTGGGCATGATGAAAATCTGATACAATCACGGATGACGCAATGTTTTTCAAGGCCAAACAAATTTCATCATACAATCCGAAAACAGATTCATGTTACTGCATACCACTGCCAATGCCCTAATCCGAGGAAAAATAGAAATCGATTACTCCCTGTTACTACAGTGGGTCTCAAACTGACCGTATGGTGAAAGAAAGGAAAGTAAAGCGGTTGTTTCACAAGGGTGTATATTGTGGAATGAGGGGGTCAAACTATGGTTACATAAGGGTCCTCTTTTAGGGGTGGTTTCTGTCACATGGCATTCTCTTTGGTCCGGCAGTGGCCTGGTCCCAAAATGCTAGATTAAAGAATTTGGTCTGTATTTAAAGATTTATCTAAAGTAAGAAATACATCAATTCAATCCAAAGAATTGGTATTAATCTGACATCTTGGTTTCAATCACTTTTCCACTGCTTTTCTAAAAAATATTTTTAGGGCAATTGTTTTCCTCTTCGGTTGCTCAGCTTCAAATTGCCGCAAAACATTGTTGATTTATTTCAGATGGAATTATCTATTACTAGCTTAAAAGTCAAGCTCCTTGCTGGCTTTTAAGCTAGTTTTGGGGGTTACTTTAATCACAATATAAATTTAAAACTTTTAAAATCACTGTTTTCAGGTGGAGGCATGGATGGAGGAATCGGAGAGCCGTGTTCGAATTCCATTCGAATTCATTACGTTCACTTACGTGCTAATACTCCTTGGGAAAGGTATGAATTCTCTTCTGTCTCCCCTCCAGCTATGGGTAAAATAACAGGACAGACCGGGTTCTATAGCTTTGGATGACAACTGGTCTACCGCAAAAAGAAATGGCAAACTACTGCGGGGGAACAATCTGCCTCGTCAGTCATGTATCGAAAGATACATGATCGCCTAAGCGTGTATCACGCACGACACATAACTGACTGATATTCAATTACGCGCAGATACTCTTGGGAAAGGTATGAATCCTCTTCTTTCCCTCCCAGCTATGGGTAAATAACAGGACAGACCGGGTTCTGTAGCCTTGGATGGCAACTGGTCTACTATAAAAAGAAATGGCAACCTACTCCGGGAAAAACTCTGACGCGTCAGTCATGTATCGAAAGATACATGATCGCCTGAACGTGTATCGCGTATAGTACATAACTGACTGAATTGTTTTCAGCTATTTTAAAATTTGAATTCTTAACTGTTCCCTACTCATCCGGACAATGCTGGATGTCCAAACACCAGATGAAGGGCAGATTTTCTATCTTGGGAAAATCCTGATTCCAAAAAGGTATAATATGTCTTTGTAGAGTAAGTGTAACCCTAGTTAGGTTGTTGTTGTTGGTGGTGGGGTTCAGACACATGGACGGACAGACAGAATTTGACGTTTATTTATTTAGATAAACTAAAAGTAAAAATCCCGTCCAGAAAAGTTTGAAAAGTTAGAAAACATTTAAAGTTTCCAGTTCAGAATTTGACAGTTATAGGTTACCTATAGACCTAAGTACAGTTTAGTAAGTATATATTATTTTTGGGTTTTAGTTATTTTCGTTTTGTAGCGTTTTCATCGCATGAAAGAATAAAAACCTTGTTTAAAAGCGTTAATGATCATTTTATTTCCTGTTTAAGCTTTTTCTTACATTTAATAAACACAGCAATCTATATGTAGAATGAGCTGGCAAGATCATGGTTACATGGTTTTCGGGATCATTTCTGTCATCTGGTATGTTCTATAGTCCGTCACTTGCATGGTTCCAAGGGTGCCGCATTAAAGAGATTGAACTGTATATCTATGGATTTTTATCATTTCCAGATATTTATTCGTGACCATGAAATTTTCCTCGCAATGGATACGAGAAATGACCATGATAGATTTTACCTTGAGCGTGCTTAAATAAATCCTATCAACCCAAGAAATATAACAGGCGATGTTTCCTTTCCAAAAGTCTTTTAGAAGTATTCGACTGCTTCTCAAATTTAGTGATACTAGCACTTGATAGAAGCTTTCATTAACCAATATGATTTTTAATCGGATAAAAAGGAATTAACCAAATTAGAAGCGGATTATATCATTTAAACATTATGTCAGATGAAGGAAATCCCTCTTTTTTTGTCTTTTTTGACAATAGCCTGAGCATCTCGCGCGTGACTTTATATTTCTGGAGGCCAAGTTAAGGGATGCTGACTAAAATAGAAAGTAGTCTATGGTAATAAAATAAAATAAAGCAACTGTCACATCCATAACCGGCCGATAAATTTAGATCTGAAAAAAAAGTAAGGTCCCTCTGCAACACATAATGCTGTTTTTCCATGAGCTCCTTGATAAGATCTATAAAAGAATCTGCAATATGATTGGTCCTGATCTGGCATCTCGGCTTCAGTCACTTTCCTACCACCGTAAGGTTTCCTTTCTATGTCTTTTCAATAAATACTTTAATGGTAATTGTTCGAATGACCTTTTCCCATCGATCGTTAGGTGGTGAGTGATGTCAGTCCTCTGGTGGATGCGGGGCGCCTTTCGTTTCGGGTGTGTTTTTTGTATTCGTTATGGCGTCTGAAAGAGTTGTCTTTAGATAAATCTTTAAATACAGACCATATTCTTTAATCCAGCATTTTGAGACCAGACGACTGCCGGACGAAAGAGAATGCCAGGTAATGGAAATCACCCCTAAAAAAGCACCCCTATGCAAACATAGTCTTAGTATCTCATTCTCGTCTGCTTTGTCTGAGAGACTGCCCAGCCTAAAAAAAATCTTAAATTAAGTAAGTTTTATGTGGCTTTCCTGATCAACTTGCTATGTATTATATAACGGGCAGAGATAGATAGATAGATAGATAGATAGATAGATAGATATGAATAGAAGTAGATAGATAGATAGATAGATCTACGTAATTCTCTTATGTGTGTCGTTCCCACAAGTAGCGAAACCGGATGCAGTTGTGAAGACGCACGATTGTTTTAGGTGAGTGCTTGGGATGAATGAATGTTTTATATTATTATAGTCCCGCATTGATTTCGTCCAGATAACTGATGTTTCTGCCACATTTAAGAATTGGGGGTGGGGGGTATTACTAACATTATTTTGTTTAGTTTCGTGTAAATAGATTTGTATTCATATAATGTAAATACTCATGGGGGCCAGTTTTTTAATTGCTGTTTTTTCCCCTCCCCCCGACAGACAATGAATTGTAAATATGGGTTTTAGTTAGGACTTTCCTGGAGACAATGAAGGATTATGGTGGATGTAGTGAGAAAGTTAAGTAAGAATGCATTGTTTTAGTGTAAGGAATATTATTGTATGTTTGGGTGAGTAATTGTGGCTAGCTAAGTTTAACGTTAAGACAGGAGAAGACTGTCATTTTCCCCAATCCCCATTTTGGCCTTGTGCCACATTTTGTAAATATTACAGATAATGATCTTCGATATGATATCTACTATATGATATCTACTATATGATACCTACTATATGATAACCACTATATGACTTCTTCTATATGATACCTACTATATGATACCTACTATATGATACCTACTATATGATATCTACTATATGATAACCACTATATGATTTCTTCTATATGATACCTACTATATGATATCTACTATATGATATCTACTATATGATAAGCACTATATGATATCTACTATATGATACCTACTATATGATATCTAGTATATGATAACTACTATATGATATCTACTATATGATACCTACTATATATCTTTTATATGATACCTACTATATGATTTCTTCTAGATGATATCTTCCATATAATACCTAATATATGATACCTACCTATATGATACCTACCATATGATATCTACTATATGATATCTACTATATGATACCTACCTATAAATACATTCATTGCAACTGTTCAGATGAGTTCTTCGCTATGGCAGTGCTGCTATATATATTAGAGATTCTTGATAAAATCCAAAAAATAATCTACAGTATTATTAGTCTTGAGCTGGTACCTCGGCTTCAGTTCCTTTCGGACAGCCGTAGCGTACCTTTTCTGTGCATTTTTTATAAATATTTTCATGGTAATTGTTCTGATGAACTTTCCGCTATGGTACCTAGACTTTATGAATTTAAACGCAGTACTAGATTGGCGGCAAGGTCTCATAATTTTACAGTTGAAATGATTAGATATAATCGTGAGTTCTATATTAACGGTTTCTTCTTTCGCACTTCTCGCCTGTGGAGTTTTCTCCCGGCTTCTTGTGTCCCAATCAACTTTGATCTTCAAAAATTTAAAT